TATTTGAAGGCACCAATGTAATAACAATAGATACGTCCAAATTTACAATTTTCTTCAGGAGACGCAAAAAGCATTTTTTATATGCTATAGGTGTAAGAAAATTTTTAAAATGTCGAAGTATCATGATTTATGATATTCTTTGATACATTATCTATTTCACATAATTACTTAATAAACAAAATTTAATTATCTAATAAAATACATACAATAATAAAATTATCATTACTATTTTTTTTTTGTTGCACCAATTGATGTAAAATTGCATTCAAAATATTTTGATGTAAAAAGTAATTTTTGAACATTTTAGACGTATTTTGTTATCTCAACGGTGCTTTCATTTTCTAGTATACTGTTGAATGATAGGCACACAAAAATTTAGGTAACTGTAATGTCAGACTTTTTTAATATTTAATTATATAGTATATAATATAAAAATTCGTAAATGTTTTCTCCAAAACGATGCCGTGGATTGTCATTTATGGTTTATTAAAATCGATTAAAATCGACAGGCTTTCAAGCTGGTATTTGTCGTATTATTATCATTATAAATAACTTTTTGTGGACCTAAGGTATGCAATGTTATGCAATGTTGTTCTTATATAGCAATTAAAAAATATCGAGAGTATATTTTATGTAGGTGTACATTTTTATTTGGTAAATGTTTATAGTTCAAACTTTTTGTCTCCTTTGCTCAGAAATGTTTTTTTTGTATACTTACAATGATTTATTAAATTAAGTGAATACTATACAGCAGAAGAAAGTTCTTCGGGCTTTTTATAACATATTTTTAAATAATGAAAATTGTTTGCTGTTCACAAAGCACTTCAAGCAATATAAGATTTTTTTCAATAAAAATATTTACCATCATTACTAAAATATTATGTATATATTATGTACAGTACTTTTATATTGAGATTTCGGACAATATTTATATTATATCTATATTTGCTTTTAGGAAGACTTGAAAGCCTTTTTAGTACGCTAAGCCCCTCAAGCCCCCAATTCCCACCATCAAATCAATCAAATTGATATTATATAATGACTTATAGCTTTGATATAATGTATAATATGCTATATGGAAACATTGGTAATCCTCACTTCTAGTCTTTTATGTTTGAATCGTGTACAAAATTTTACTCAAAAATACTATTTGTCGGCTCTGGTGAACCTCACCTAACAGAGTGAATTGCATATACTATGTATTTATAGTCCGCTTAGGAGGTTTATTCCAAATTGTATTTCTATTATTTATTATTATAGATGTTAGTGCCTGTGTTATTTTTTATTACATCACGGCATGAATCACGATGTATTTTTATGATATTCTACAGTATCGAAGTATCATCGTATATTAGTATGCATTAACTGCTGCAATAAGTTAAATAATATTCTGGACTTTGGTGTGTAAATCGACACTTTATTTTTAGGACATAATAATATTATTGGGTTAGCGGTGAATTACCACTGGTTCTTTATTTTTATTATTCCTATTTCCTACTATGTGCAAATCTCTGTGGCTTTAATTCATTATTGTACAGTAGTTAATTATTTAAAGTGAATGTGAGTTTAATTTTCTTATTGGACTATTTGACCAATCTACGATACTAACCAAACTCCGTACGATTATTGTTTTATGTGCATCTATATTATACCTATTAATTATTTATTTTATTATTATCTGTATATACCAGACAGTGGCGGTCAAACAGGTTGTGATAAGGGGGATAGATCCCCCCCATGACCTTTTTTTCTTTAATATTTATAACAATTACATTTTTGTATATTGTACTAAAATGTTAATGTATTCAATTTTACCATTAAATTTTAAAATTGATTTAATATAATACAAATATTTTACTTAAAAATAAAGTACTAATTAAAAAAAAAAATATTATACATAACCATAAATTAAATTTTAATTATTAAATAATGCATGTTAAGAAAACAGCCACATCCTCCCCCATGACCACCACTAATATCAACTCAACTACTTGTCAGCTTATTATAATGTACAACAGCCAAATAGCTGCCTTAAGTTAATCATTAATAAACTTATTTTGTGTTATTTCTTTGTAAATTGTTTGTAATACAGAAAAATAGTTATTACCTACCATTTATTCTAATTTATTTGTGTTGTACACAAAGTACGAACACATGTATTTAAATTATACACATACTCACTAGCATGGCTATCGATAATAATATTATATTATCTTTAATCGTGCCACTAGTCATTACTCACTATCATAATATATCACATAATATTATTATATTCATATTACATTCGTAGCCCAACAGTGTCGGCGAGTCCGATCACTGATCATTTAGTTACACATAAATGCATAAAACATGTACATTTAAATATTATCCAGTCGGTGTATACATATACTATATTATTACTATTAATAGCTATAGTAATTAGTAATAGTTAAGCTAAACGTTTAAAGTATTTCGGTGACCACAGATCGAATAATATTATTTTATGTTTTCGGCACGTACATTTACAATTGTATTATAATTATTTATATCATGTTCTCGTTGACTACATTGGATTTTGAATTTTTTTTAAATGTATAATATTTGATATAATAATACATAGTATACTAGTCGTTATAATATCATCATTTTTTTGAATCTATGTGTGAATATGGGGCAACCATACTGGTGCCAAGTGTACTTTGTCATTGGGTTGATAACTGTAATGGATGTGTTAAATTTGTACTCAATGATAAATCGTACGTAAAATGATTCTAAGCAGAGAAAGTTTGTGTTACTAAATAGGGCCGTGGCCTGGTGAGGGTGGGAGTGGGAGTTCAATCCCCCCTTACAACAATTAATGTATATAAATATAAATATATTTATTTTTTAATTTAATCATTATGATAACCCCCCCCCCATATTTTTATAAGTATGTATACCATTTATATTTTATATTTCTATTAATTATAAAAAATCCTATAATTCAGCCATTGATTATAAATAGGTACCAGTATTTGCAGTATAAATAGTTCAAACTGTTTATTAAATACAGGAGCTAAGTACATTTTCTATACATTTCAATTACTATTATAGTAGTTTGTTCAACTATTAGTAAAACGTAATACCATAGGTTGTTCAAAACATTGCATTTACTAAATTATTAATTATTAATTATTATAATAGTTTATATTAATTATACTCATGTCCTATATCATATATTATTTTTTTTATAACTCTTGAGTGAATACCGATTTGTCGTGTGTGAAAGGGTAAGTGCTATAAGATAGGTACAATATTTTATTTTTAATATTTTAGCTTAAAATTGATCTGAATATTTTGAAAAAATAATTTTATATAGACGTATAGACTATAATAAAAAATAATTATATACATAAATGATAAAACTTTAAAAATACCACACGAAAAACATTTTTGAATTACAACAAAAATTAAAATCGTTTAATATCTAATTTCTTATACATGGTAAAATTATGATAATTTTGATAGTAATTATTACAATCAGTTTTTTTACAAAAACTGTTGCTTGAATGTTGATAGCCTCCTGAGCCCTGCCTAAGTTTTTCCCGAACGAAACCGTTTTTCCAAACGTTCATTTTCGGTAACAATTAATTCCGTACGTCAAGGTCGTAACGATTTCTATTGCGTAATCCCAGGATACCGACGAAACTTACTACCAGAGTACCAGGGGCATAGTCGGTACTCGTTCTCAGTTTCTGTCGTAGGTCGGCGGCGGCAGTGCAAGTTGTAAAATATACTTCTAGCAATCATTATCACTGCATAGGTTCCTAATACTTGTATTCTCATTGTTTCCGAATATTTATATTTTCTAATTTATATAAAGACGTTTCTACAATGTTACGCGAGTCAAACCACTCCATAGCTGACTTAGTGACGTTTTCAGAAACATTTAGTACCTATGTACCCCCCTTTTAATTTTAATTTTATATTTATTATTATCATTGATTGATTATTAATAAGGTTATTAAACATATTACTTATATAATAAATTATATTTTTTTAAATTCCTTCTTTGAATTAATTGGTAGAGCTATATTGGATTGCTATATCCCGGTACATCAGAACCAATTTTTAGATTCTGAGCAGAGTGATAATATTGTGTTGATTATACAATTATGTGAGTTTTGTTTTTATGTTTGTCATCACTTTTTTGATCTGTAAAAATGCTTCGATTTTCAACTTTGGGAGTGGGTTCTGGTAGCAAATTTCATTTGGTTGGTAATTGGGGTGTTCAAAAGAAAAAAATCCAATAAAAGTATGTACTGCAGTTTATAAGAATCGAGATAAAACAAAAAAAAAATAAACAAAAACAGTTTTTTTGATCTAACTCAATCTACTCTTTAGATATTTGAAATTTTCACCAAATGTTTATTTTAGTATTTTGTTTGTATATGAAAAATGTTTTAATACTTTTTGAGATAGGTTAGATGGGGTTGGGTTAGATGGATTAAGTAAAATGTATGAAATGTTAAATTTTTATAGCTTGGTTTTTAATATTTAAAACCAGGTTTATTTATTTATACTGTAACCAACAAATCTTAAAAGTATATAAATATAGTTTTCCATAGATATCTTAGTTCAAATTTGGACGAAAGTTGATATTTAAACGAAGAATAATGATTTTAGTTATTTCGTTGTAAAATATTATTAATGTGCACTTGAAACTTTTAAAATAGGTGTTATTATATTGGAAATTATACAATGTAATGTTTTCGGCAAAAATTAATGAAACCAGAACCTTGCAAAGTTTCGACTAATAGAAACTAAAATGAATACATTTTATAACAATAAAAATATATCATAAAATATACTTAGTAATTAGTAATAAACGTTATAGGTAGACTGATTCGCAAAATGTTTGCAACCTCTTATTAAAAACTGAAATAATACAAATGTATCCACATTAGATTTTCCATTAAAATAATATGGTTAACTATAAAATATTTACTGTGATTATAATGACATATAGCCATATAGGCCATATTTGTATACACATATTATTACAATTGTTAAATATTTAGACCAAAATATATTCTTTTCTTCATGCCAATGATTGAAAATAATCGAACTTGCAGTAGGTACCCGTGGGAAAACACAATGTTTACTGAAGACAGTTACTTCGCTGGAACGTGTGAGGAGTCCTGTTCTTCAATAATTCCCTCTTCACCTTCGCCAAATTCATACTCTTCGCCTATACCCTCCTCGTTCTGCGCCGTTTGCTGGGACAGCCACAATTTTATCTCGCCTTCCATCTCGTCAAAGTCATATGGGAAAAACTTAATTGCGTCATCGATGCCTACTTCGTGATCCGGGCTCACGTATATCGGCCCCAATTCGACTAACCGCAACAGACTTTTGTCCTTGTCGTCCATGAGCACAGACAACACCAATTTGGCCTCTTTGCTGTACAAACAATTTTATGTATGTATTTATTATATGTATTTTACCAACTATATGACTTACAGATACAATTTTTATAAAAACAATTAAAACAATTATGTATCCTACCCCAGATGTTGTAAAAAATGTAAGACTAAAAATAAGTTTAATAATATGATATACAGGCATACAGTGTGTATCACCATGTTCGACCCCATCAAAAGCTTTTTTCCAATTAATATTTTTTAAATTCGAATTTTGATAATAAGTATTAGAGTATAAGATCCACAATTATTGTAGTTTGAATTGTTCGAAGAAATTTTTAATAAAATAATATTCATTACATATATTTATATTGTATTTTTGAAAAATATTAGGATTATAATACACATACAAAATGAAAAACAAAAACTGCCTAAATTACTGGAGTGCTCAACACCCTGATAATTATTATTCATTGGTATTTTCAAAATAAAATACCTAAATATATATCGTAGGAAGTTTTATAGTTTTTGGTTTATATTTAATTGTAAACCATTAACTTTTCTATTTTAATGGCTATCTAGCCGATCTTGATTCGTATTTATTAAATCTTAATTTTTATATTTAAGAGTTGTATGCCACTATATTATTATAATAATAATACTACCTAGGTACCTACCCAACTCTCTCCGCGCCATAAATATCCAACAATTCAGGGTCTTTACACAGTAACTTGGTTTTTTCGGGATCGGCGTTACGGAAAAACCCATAGTAGACGACTGTGTCTTCTAGATCCTCGATGACTGGTAACACGGTGTTGGCTTTGTTGATATCAAAAATGATAAGGTACTGCAAAAAAATAATACATTGAGTTATGTGTAAACTGTACAGTAAGTACCTATAATATGACAAATGTGTAATTTTTTTTGGGATTGCGCCTCAACGACCAGCACAACAAAATAAGTAGTATAATAATTTATAACATTATAGGTTTCTATATATAACGTAATATATTATATGGAACAAAAAAGTCCTACCGTGCACTTGTAATAAAACTAGTTCTTTAACCTGTGGTGAAGGAGGTTGGGGTGCGACGTATCCATGGTTTCTGCAGAATTTATTGAACAAAATGGTGAGCGCTGAAGCTTTACTTAACGGATTCCTAGGAGTGTATACTGATGGTTTTTTTTGTCCGTATTCGTCTACTACCGCATGTATATCTGCAAGTCTAAATTAAATATGGTCACTTACTTAAATGACGTTACAAACTGAATTATTGGAACATGTATATTAAAAAAATATTAAAACACGAGTGTCCTACAAAAATTAACTTAATGAATATAATTTACCTATACACATTTATGAATTAAAAATATGTCACTTTATGATTTCTTAATTTAAATAAAAATGTATTAATAAAGTGTAATAAATAAATTTGTACACTATAATTTATTTTTTTGATGTCTAGTGTTTACTGTCTTGAATAGTGAACACTATATTAATATATTATACATTTATACGATGATAGTATTTATGCGCATCTATGCATAGAAATATAGTGTTTTTTCTGTTTCTCATAAGCTTACATTAAATAATACATATAGTTACAATTTTATTTTACAAGAATTTGATGTACATTTTTACGAAATTCGTCAAAATCATGAAAATTTGCATACTTTAATTGTATAGGTGGTTAAAATTTATAAAATTTTCAATTTTTATAACTTGTGATTAAAAATTTACAACAGGAGTTTTCATGAGTATTTTATACTGTAATCACAGTTTTTTTTTACAGACTTTTAAGTTAAAATTTTGGAAAAAATAAGATATTTTAACAAAGAATACAATTTTAATTATTTTGTCGTAATTTGAATATATTATTCGTTGTACTTGAAACATTTAACATAATATATCATTATATTTTATGAACACCACGATATTTTAAAATACAATTTTTCATCAAAATTAATTCAATCTACTACTTAGTACTTAGTACTACTTACTTACTTACTTACTTACTTACTTCTTACTTACTTACTTACTTACTCACTTACTACTTAGTACTTACACTACTGTTAGTAAATTAGATTATCTTAATAGCAATATAGATATGATAATATAATATGTTTAGTGTTTACTGTTTAGTAAATATTAATATTAGTAACATATAGTTTTCACTCTGGATTGTTTTTTATTACAATGATATAATGCCGTTGAATTCAAATTCAAATTCAACACATCCGGATGTTCATTACAGTGACCTTATGTACAATAGAGCAATTCACACTTGCCCACCTTTTTAAAATTATATTTAAGTGTATTTATTTATTTATTTTTTATTTATTTATTTAATTATATTTAATTTTACATACATACTAAGTTAACGCATATAATTCGCCACACATACGTAGTAGGTAACATACATATTTAGTTAGGTGCTCACTATTTAGTTTAGATACTTACGAATCCGGACCAGGGTTTAACGGGCTTCCGCCACCGTAAATTATTGTGCTCAACTTTAGCTCTATTTCCCCCATTAGGTCGATGGGAACAGGTGCATTTTCGGGTGTATCATCTGTAGTTGTGTCGTGTTTGACAGTAGGCATTGACAACATTACAGAATACACATTTTTATTCATCAGTTCTTCGATCAATTCTTCCGAAAAACTTTCCAAAAACTCTTTTTCCATAAAAAACAACTAAAACGGAAGGACGGAATATAATTCATGTCTACTTTCCAATCGATATATGTTAGTAACGTACTACCGTGGTAAGCATAGTTCTGTATGAAAATAATACTCTTCAACTTATTTATAACGTACCATACAGTTCAAAATATATTTTATTTTATTTTTATTAAATTAATAAATGTACACCTAATATGTAATTATATTTAAGTGAAATTGATAATAGATGTCAATAAAACAATTAGACTGTCGTAAACAACGGTAGTCGAGATAATCAACTAGTACCAATTATATAATTTATAATTCGATATGTGTAATAATCAGTTTATATGTACACAAATATTAATGCAAGTTATCTAGGTACACGAGTAATTTATTCCGATCCATTTAGTTGTTAGTTGTTATTTTATGGTAAAAATATTCAGTAAAGTATGGATTTTGAAGATTGTCCTAAATATTTTTTTTTATAGTACCTACTGAAATATTTTCAATTATTATTTCATCAGATTTTTCAATATCATTGAATATTTTTACCGGCTACTTTCCTGACCGATCATATTTAAAATATATTTATATTTACCTGGTACAAACTGTCTTCCGTCAATTTCACTTCTTTAGCTTCAATAACGATCAGTTCCTCATACTTACTAGCACACGAGTTGGCCACCTCACATACCCTTTTTTCTATCATCACAGGTTCAGGTGGTTCTTCGAGTTCTTCGGCGCCCTCTTCCAATGGTTTTTCCACCATAATGTATTTGACTGTGTGGGGGAAAAACATGACACATGTTTGCATTTGGATGTCATACGAAAATTGTTTCAAAGCTCGTTCTTTTATTTTCATCATTCTTCCATCTGAAACCAACAAGTACGATTTTAGTTTTAAGTTGCGTAAAATTGCATACAAAACCCACTTGAACCATCATTTCACAATAGGAGAAAAATATAAGAATTTATTAAAAAATATATACCCCGATGGATATTAAACCGGACTATATTATCTAGGTAGGTATATTATATTATAATATTATAACTACTTTTATTATAAAATAATAAACAAGGATTAACATTATTTAATTAATTATGATGACTGCCAACTGCAGATTGATAAGCAGTAGGTCAGCAATCAAAACATAAAAGCAATACAAACCTCTAATTTTTTTTTCTTTCCTCGCTCTCTGTTTTTGATAGTTTTCAATTTTCATTTGTTGTTCTCGCTCCTCATCGGTTACTTTACTTAATGGTATCTTAATATATACGTAAAAATTTGATATTTGGGTATTACTCAACGTTAATGATGGCATTCATGCACAAAATTACGAATTCTATATTGTATACTCACAAACTCTTTATGAATTTCTCCATTCTTGAACTTAACATACTGATCCACTTCCTCTACTATTAATTGTGTTAATCTAGAAGCATCGACGCCAATAATGACATTGACCAATTTCCCATCCTTTTTAATAATTAATGAAAAATAAATTGTTAAAGTTAGTACTCTACTAAAAAAAATGTTATATTCACTGTTAATAATCAATAGATATCAAGGTACTTACAAAAAAAAACAACCAATGTGGTTCACTTTTATGTCGAAACCTTTTTAACACATTTATTTCGTCACATTTTGCCTAAAATTTTAATATCTTAATCAAACAAAATTTTGGATTCTGAGCGGAGCATTGAGTGTATTGATTTTACAATGATGTGTGTTATTTTTTGTGGGTCTGTATACAAGATACATAAAAGAAAAAAGATTTAATTTTTAAGACATCAACATGTTTACTGCTTGGAAAGTCAATCTTGTTGGTACCTAATTTTAGGTAAAAATTAAAAATTCCCATTACTTTCTTAATAATTTGGAATTGAATTTTTACTCAAAACCTATTCATTTTAAAACAAGTAACAGTAGATACTTGCAATTCAATTATCACAAAGTGAATTAAATGTTAACATAATATAACTATATTACGTTTATATTAGAATTTTCTATACACCCATATTATTTAAAAAAGTTGTTGATTCTTTTTTAGCTATTTATTGGCGATTGTCATTTTAGATAAAAAAAAAACATATTGTTTAAAATACTTGAACATTTAGTTCAAAGTTCCTCATAAGTTTTTATCACTGGAATAAAAATACATTTTTAAGTTAGTTCCTCAATTATTTTTTTTAAAAGCGTCTGAAGTTTAATTTTTGACAAATTAGGATATTCATGCCTAAATTAACGATTTTAGTTGTTTTGATGTAGTATTGTAGTATTCAAAAACGGTCAATCGAATAAACCAGCGGTTTTTAACCTTTTGTAGAACACGGACCCCCGATGAAATATTTTTAGAAATCGCGGACCCCACCCACCATTTTTTTTCGAATACTTTTTTTTACAAAACATATCAAGTTATCATAACCAAAATTATAATAACTATTTTATATTACAAATTATAGAAGTAGACATAACAAAATATACATATTTATAATTATTTTAATTAAACTTTCATTTTAAACTTTAACATCATTAAACACTTAAATTTAAAAAAAATTGTAATATAAATTATTTTATCACGGCCCGCCGCGACAGACAATATAAGATTATAATTTTATATGAAACAAAAATAATAATCCAAAAATATTGTAATAATGCACTCATGTCACGTATTAACTTATGTTTGGTGGGGGCCGCGGACCACAGGTTAAGAACCGCTGGAATAAACCATAGATAGGTACTTGACATTTTAACCAAATATAACTATATATTAGCATTATTTATGTATATTGTACATGATATAAAAAAGTAGACTCAGCGGCCAAAATCGATTTTTTAAAAACAAATAACCGTGAATACTTGAAATTTTCACCAAGTGTTAACATACTAAATAAAAAATACTCAGTACATATTATTTTCAACATATTTTTTTTTCTTTTTGACCAAATTTTAGACGTTTCAGGTTTTAAATTTTTTTTTAGTTTTTTTTCTGTTTTATTCAAAAAAATTTATTTGTCAAAAAGCATAAACATTCAATGCAAAATTCCACATAAGTAGTTCTCATAACTATAAGTCATAAATGCATAAAAATATTATACATTTTTATAGCTTAAGCTTGGTAATGTAATGCAAGGTTCCTCATAACACATAAGTAACTAAAAAAATAAAATAATATATACATACATTATATACTTACCTAAATAAATTTTTTGTGTGGACATTTTAAGTTAACATTAGGACAAAATTTTATTTTTAAACAAAATATAACAATTGGTCTCCTCTATTATTAGAAAAAATACATGTATTTGGTTCCCTCGATAATTCAAAATGTATGTCGGTAGTAGACAAACAACAATTCGAATTTTTTTGCCAGAACCTTTATAATTCGAATTTCTTTAAATACGATAGTACAAAGATTACCTATGTATATACAAACGACCTATTTGACGTACTCGTAATAAAACCACGGTGATAAAATATTATTTTACTTTATTATTTCTGCCTATCTGTAAGTTAGATTACGCCATAGACCAGATTGTGGCCAACAATTAATAATAAACAAAATTAACAGATTTCTCTAATAGGCAATAGCATATAACAATATAATAAATAAATGAATGAAAGTGTGTAATATGTATTTAAAAACATTTTCACCTCTCTTTAAATCGAATTATTTTTTTTCCCTCAATTATTCGAACACCCGGGAAATCAAAAACCTCTATAAATCGAATTTTTAGTTCTGTCCCTTCAATTTCGAATTATCAAGTGACTAAACTGTATCTATACAATAATATTAAAGATTTCAAAAAACGAAATCATAAATAATATAAACAAGTATAAATTAGTTATGTACCTAAACCAGTTATGTACTAATAAAAAAATAATTGAATAAAGCTTAATAATTGTCCTATTAACATAGTCACTAATCAACAAATTGCAACGTTTATTTATTCGTTTTTTATTTATTTATTGATTTCGTTTATTTATTGCGTGTTTTACATTATATACAATATACTGTATTTAGGTAGAAATAGGAAAGATTAGAGGGTTAAACTTAACCAAATAGTATGATATCCACCAACAATTTTATAGGAATAACGTTATAACTTAAAGTGATTGGTAAATATATATTTTTGGGAATAAAGGCGGTGTCGGATTATTCGTAGGAAGTAATTTTTTTGATAGCTGGCTTATTCTAGCAAGTACCTATAGGTAGACTTTTCTCAAATACCTATATTATACCTAATTCAAGTTATTATTTCCAGAGTATGTCATTGCGTGTTTAATAAAATGTTATTTTAGATTCTGAGCGGAGCGATGAATGCATTGATTTTACAATGATGACGAGTGTTTTTTTAATTTGATTTTTTTTCGAGTCTTTGTGTTCACGATAAGTAGTCGGAAATAATGCTTCGATTTTTAATTTCAGTATATTTTCCGTTAGAGAAGTGAAACTGGTTGATGCATTTGGGAGGTCAAAAGTACCGGGAAAAACCAAAAAAAAAATTTAAGGAAAAACGAGAATTTTTTTTCAAAATCGAATTTTGACCAAATCGATTTATATTTTTGGTGCAGCTCTAAAAAATGACCGTAATATATGACATTTTCAGTTTATGTTAGATTTTTATATACACCATGAGATTTCAAAATATATTGACTTATTTTGAGCTGTTGACAGATATTTCAAATTTTTTAGTTTTTTTCCCTACAAATGTCATTAAAGTTATTCATTTTAAATCAAGTATAAGTTTAATATGCATACCTATGTGTAGACGGAAAGAGCGATCGAAACAATATAAACAGTGTAACCTTAAATTGGTGTTAACCTGCAAGTAACCAATACAAAATTGTATTACCATATTATAATTAAAATTAAAACTTGTAATGCCTATCTTATTCAATAATTTAGAAATATTGTCGTTTTATTTCATTTGAACTATGTTTTAACTTTTTCTATAGGTGTATTGGTCGCATAATATATACAATAAATAATAGGTGTAGAATATTTACTATGGCGAAATGTAGATTATCATTGTCCAATTCCATTTTGATTCTTTTTAAATATGTTGTCATTGCTACACAAGGGCCGCTAAATTCAGCATATACGTCAATGACTAAAATAACAAACGAATTACTAAATACTAATAAATGTGCAAAATGTTACTTTTTGGTTATTCTTATATTATTGTGAGGTTTTTACCATACATTCCTTGGAGTTCCATAACTTTTGTCCAATCATCATCGTTATTGATTTCTTCTTGAAGTATTATTTGTCCTCTTTTAGCCATTCGTACTGATCTTTTTTTCTGATTAAATTGTATTTTATTATTTCAAAATATATTAGGTTAAGTGTTTAAATTTAAAGCATACATTAAACACCCAAAATTATTTGATAGAATAACAACATTATTTTGCCTTATTATTTTCTAGTTGTATACTAGCATACATTTTTTAAATTACCTAATAATAGATAAGGTTTTCTTTTATATTAATTTATATAGGTTTCTACTAAAGCTTATTTGCATTTTTAATGTGCCCTTTTCGTCATCATTTTTGTGTTTAAAATAAATATTTCATCGTTAACTAACGTCTGTATAAGTTACACATTCATTAAAGGATAAAATAAGAATACGTTATAGTCATTACAACATAAATCTAAAGTTTATATTTATTACTTACGAAACAAATAGGTTTTCTTTTTTGTATATGGCGCTATGTCCGGGAGTAGGCCCGAAGGCCTAGTTCGGACGCCTATTTGGCAGAATTTCTAGTTAGACACTCGTATATTTTAAATTTAAATGCTCATAAGTCCCCAATATCTGAATTCGTTATCCAATCAGGCTATTATTTTTTATTGTTATATTTTATCTTGTAATTTATAAGTACATTTAAAAGACTAACATATGCAAGCCACTTCTACTTGTTAAGACAAATAATAGTAATTTCGTTTGGAAATAATTGGAGAAATAGGCGAATGGGTGATTGATGTTTCTACTTTAGTAGGTTGGTGTTACTGTAGCACGTGTTAGTTAAGGCCATGTAGTTATAGATATAGATTATTTTCGAAATCAACCTTTCAACCTACTGTGATTTGTATAAACGGCGGTGTATTATATAATTTATAAATGATATAGGTAGATAGGTAATAATACAAATAGATGTAATTTTCGAAGGATGAACATTGAACACACACGTCTACACGTGCCATATAATATATTGGTATGAAACGGCAACAAATATAAAGATTGCACTAGCAGATGCCCACCGTAAGAATATTCATCACAATAACAAGGATTTCTTTGCAGTAGCATATTGTTTTCCTTTAATCCAAATACATTGGTTGTCAGCTATGTCTCATCCCGAATCGAAAAGAATAAAATTAATTAATAATATTATATACATATTTATTTCGCATATCTTTGGATTTTTTAATGAAAATGCATTTATAATTTAATATTTAGGTTTTTCGAATATTTTTTTGAAAAACCTTACATAAAATCATATTTATCCATTAGATCTATAATGTGCATTGCTTAGTTAATTTGTCATACATATAAAATGTATAAACTGACATGATCGTTGATTTAGGTACGCAATTTATCACGTAAAAGATAAGATTTTATCTTAATATACGCTTGTGGACTATGGTTGTTGCTAAATTGTATGACTTGTATTTGTTGTGTAAATACAAAATTTTATATTTAGTGTGGGACATTTAGTATTTTAGAATGAAATTTATTTAGACAACTTAGAGGAATGCCAAAAGTTCAAAGTTAAGTTTCTAAATTATGACAATTCACTGAAGAATTGTCTATGGAAATGTTCAAAACCGATAGGTTAGTTAGTTACTTAATTATATTATTTGCGATCAATTTGTATACAAAAAATAAAATACTTAAATTCTTTTTCGTCATATTTTTGTATATTTTTTCATTGTTTATCGCATGTAAATCTTGTAAACACTATTCATCACAAACATTAAGGTAATACTTATTTATATCATATACTAAATATATAAGAAAAGAAAAATAATTAATAATCACATCGGTAGGTGTACATTATCATTGTTACACCGATCAGATGTGAAAACATACATATTTTAAAAACGCACTGCGTACTGTCACGTACTGCATTCGGTCACGCGCTCCGAAATATTATTATCAATAGGTACCTACCTCAATGACCAACCCAAAAAATTACAATGATAAATTATATATAAGTTATATTAGGTGATTATAAAATCAATCAGAATACCAGTTACATAAAAAGGTAATGGAAAGGTTTAAATGTTTAATGTAAGCTTAAACGATTTTATTTTCTTAAATGTGGTGGGGATATGGAAACTCTGCCAGTTGTGAGGCCTTATTTATATCAAACTTTGTAGTATATCTCAACTAAATGTCTAAATTAACTCAAAAATGCAAAATGAAAAAAAAATGATAGTGTTAGAGAACGTTATAAATAGTTATAAGAACAGATTTATATTAGACTTAACAATTTGGGTAAAACGTTAAGAACTACTCATTTGACGCTAGAATTGAAACGCCCAGGCGTTGGCGGTGCCATGTAGGTATGCTAAATTTAACATTATATAATTTAACATTTAAATATTATATTTATATGCCTGTTAATTTTCCCATCCATGATAATATTGTCCTTGACCACCCAAATATTGGGTGTTGGTCGATTGTCCTTGTCTGATCGATTAATTGTCCTGTGCCCTGTCGGTCGATTCATTATCGGTCGTCGGTCAAATGACCCCGCAAGCCACAGACCCCTCATGCCTCGAACTCAATGATGCTACTATGCAGCCATAGGTGCTCGTCGAGATAATTATTTTTACCAAAGTTAGGTATGGTGGTTAAGTAGTACGGTTCCAGAAAGTTATCGAAAACGCTAAAACCACTCGCATAAAACATACTTTCCCACACGCAAAACCAGCTGTGAAAGTCCTAGAGGATAACGTTGTTATTACTGTCTAGGTCGATAGATGTTGTCGGCGATAGATATACATTTGTAATTTTTACACTTTTATATTATACGTGGTAGAGGATATAATAGATATACCTATTAAATATAATATTAGAAAAACCTACCCCCTATAATCTATACTTTGTAGTAGACAGTACCGAGTGGTTCAATAATAATATATCTGGTTAGTAGTTAGTGATTTTTATGTATAGACGATAGTTAATACTCACAGTTAATTATAGAAAGAGCAGGAACTTATAATTATGAAATTAAAAGTGATACGAACACTGACCGAGGTGAACTAGTTTAATTTGTTTCTATAGGTGTTTTCTTCGAATTTCACGATACTGAAATAAAAAAAGATTCAAAAACCGTGTCAACAGTTTAATATTGCCAGAGGCGTCTCCCATGCCTTATATATTGTTCCCATGGATACGATGGTGGCGATATTTTGCAGCACGTTTAAATGCGTTAACAACACCTGTATAATATACACATAGACACTATAATGCCGGATTCCATATAACCAATCACTAAACATGTAATGAATTGATACTAAGCATGATTTAGTGGCCCATAACTAGTGTTCATTACATTTTAGCGAACCATTAAATGTATTAGTTATATAGCCTATAGGTACAACCTGATATCATAATATTATTCGAATATATTGATTTAATATTTTTGGTAAAACTGGTAAAGGTATGATGCTATTTCATACACATTTAAGAGTTAAATTTCGTTCAGGGCCCAAAGAATGAGTGTTGATTTAACTACTCTATGTAGTCATATTTTTCCATTAATTCTATTTTTAAATACAGTGACAACAAAATATATCTCTACGTATACAAACTTGGCCATATGTTCCCACTTACCATGGTCATGATGGGTGGGTGACTGGCTCCCCACGATCGTTAGTCCAAACAAGAAAAAATTTAAATATTCTTTTAGGTACTATAATAAGTACCAATTACCATTCAATGTAATTTTGAGCCAAGAAGACGTCGATGGGCCCTTTACATAAACGGGCCCCAGGAACGTGCCGCCCTCATTCAGGTTTGATAGTCATCTATTATGGGATTTATAACCTAATGCCTATCTTACTGAGCCACTACCTAACTTTCCAATTATAAGGAAAACGTTGTTATTTAAATGGAGACCTAAGTATATATTTTTTGAAGACTGAGGTAAGAATGTAAGATAAATGGTTCATTTGAATGTATGCATTGACTCTCGATGTACCTAAAGTTTATTTTTTCAAATTTATCATTAATAAAAGAATTTATTGAGATTACCTACATAAAAGACAATATATTATCTATATTTTTTATACCAATAGTAAATTCCCTGCGTACTCAGCGTGGTTCCATAAAGTACAATTAATATGTACAGTAAATTATACCTTTATAATATTAGGACTTAAAACAACAAAAATCAAAATAGGTATAAATGCAGCAATTATTGATAGGTAGTAGGTACCGAATTTTAATATTAAATAGTAACAAAAGAAAAACGCAAATTAATTATGCATAACCACTCGTGGGTGGTGATAACAGTGACTGATTAAAAGAATTGAGCCGTCTCAATTTTGAGAAATTTTTTAATATTTTAACTTCAATATTAAATTAATATGTGTTAAAAAATTATTTTTCTAAAAAAAATCTGAATATTCTGTTTTTGATTATGCCATGTTTATTTCCTTTAATAAACCATCCTTCCATGCATATGTTTAATACAAAATGTTTCGATATTTTACATCTGCCAGGCTTCTCGCGACAACTCACTTTTTTATAAGTATTTATAATATTATGAAGTTAAAATGTTACAGTCAAACGTGAAATGCGAGATATACGCGAGTACAAGGAGTGTAGTCGAACACTTGTGCTCCTCATATTGCTCCGCGTCCTAGGAACTCCTCGGAAATACTCCCTAGGAACACTTGGAATTTTGGTCACAAGTTTTAAGGACCCACGGCAGGAGGCGAGGTGTAGCGAGAATAAGAGTGTGTAGAGGTTGCATTTTGAATTTTTCATAACACAATCATTTTATGCGAGGGTAAAAATATATTAGCACTATGAAAATATATAGTATATAGTCACGTAAGAATAAACAATATATACATGCACAGAGATTTTGATTCGGATATTATAATACCTTAATCAAACACTATCACAAATTGTTATGGTCGAATCAATGGGATATGACAAACGTCTGTATAGAATGTAATAATAATATAGATGTTTCGATGTTTGATAATATAACTATTGTAAGTTATAACTTAAATCGGCAGGGAATTAATTGGTATAATATTATGCACATAATATTATTCAGACATTAGGCGTACTTCATTGACCACTTTCCATGTTGTAGATAATATTTATTTGTATGTATTGTAGTATAAGTTGTAATAATGTTTTTGTATGTTTCCGATAGTAATCTGAATTATGTGTTTATGGTTTAGATTTTTAGAATAAATTAGATATAAAAAAAATTATGTACACAGTTTAAAGCTTAAACAAGAAATTATCCTAATTTTCATGTAATGCATTATTTTAATATTCAGTAAATTACCTTTAAAAAATAATCGGCACAACTATGTTATATCGGTCTCCTTTTAATATTACCTATTATTTAAATGATGATAGCAGACCATTTATTTCTTACAATAGCCACTTTATTTAAACTGAAGAATCAATACATTTAATTGTTTTAAAAATTGAATAAAATCACGTAAATACAAATGTATTGGTAGTTGGTACAAACGGTACCGATTGCTTGTTGCTACTATTATTATTTGACTTTGAATATAAATATATAATATCTCAATAGTCCATACATTCAAGCTTTAAATTTATAAGACTATGAACAAACAAGAAACTACATTATTATAAGTTATAATTTATAGGTAACTTATATGAGTCGTATCATTTGCCCATATAGGTAGCTAATATACCCAAAAACTACACAATTGAATTATGAAAACCTCAGAAATTATTTTTTGAGATGTCAGAAAAGCTTAGAGA